AACCTTTACTCTCTTCGTGTGTGTCCTCCCAAATTACGATGTTTCCATACTCAATTTAGTTGTGTTTAAGAAACCCCGTGGCATTGCCCTGTTTCACCCAGAGTACGAGATATGTGTTTGTAACTCGACAGAAAAACGTTGCACAGCCAGCACTAACCTACACAATGAGATTGACTCTTTTCGGCGTACCTCTCTATGAACATAGTGGTGAGTCCATCAAAAAGATTATCGTTTTATCATTTTGGTTTCTTTTCACAATTTTGTGGTTCTCATCCTGACCATCCTACGGAACTTGTTAAGCATTTGCATTTTTGTCCGTAACATACCGTTGTTCTGTTTTCCACTAACCGTTCTAGAACCAGTGGTGCTAGATTGTACGATATTCACCCAAGGGAGCGGCACATAAGCGAAAGTTCTCAGGTTTTATCTCTCTCACCAAATGAATTAACTACAACTGCCCCCCACATTGTTTTGTGTGCGCACATTCTATTCCTATTTCAAACTGTTGTTATGCAGCGGTGTATTTTAATCAGCAGACGCTTGCAGCGATGATTCCCATGTTTATTAGCTTTTTAATTTTTTACCCCAGTCAGTCTACGGGACTTGTCAAGCACCTGCTGTTTAACGCGCAATGCATCATTGTTCATTATTTATTCATGTGCGCATTTGTGGCAGCGGCCTCAACACGGAGGGGTCATCGTGATGTAATCTCCGGTGTGGCATTATGAGGTCAGCACAAGACCGTTGCAGATGCATCGGTCTTCAATTTAAGTTAAGAATACGCTTTCGTATATCTGTGAAGGGAAGATTTTCAGCCGTGATACACATACTATCGACATGACAAATAGAAGCAACTCAAAACCAACAGAAAAGTAAAAGCCTAGTGAAAAACATAACCTCACTGGCAGAAGTTTCCGGCCAGTCCTTAAATAACAACGTTCTAGTCATATAGAAACCTGCAAAACAGGGAATGGCCGACAAACCACAGACCCACTTGCGGGCATAAATTTCTTTGTGCTTTTGACAAGTCAACGAGTTTGATATATACTTGGGAAGTGCTGTGTGAACAGGGTGGCTAATGTCGTTGACTATTTTAGAAACAAGCTTAGTGCATGAAATAACGTGCTTAGGTACAATTGTTTTAGCCAAAGTTGAATTTGGAATGCCACTACTGTGGGATAACCAATTTTAATTGGCCTGTCAAGCAGCTCGAAAGGCTTACACAGAAGACCTGGAAAAGTCCCAAGCTAGCAATAAGTCTAGTATGGTTGCATGCACGCAATGAAGAACATCAAACTCAAATTGTATGCTACGAATGCTGATCGCAATCTAACATCATAAAACGAAAGCCGCCTGCTTATTAATCCACCTCGGGTTCTCCCGTCGCCGTGTGCAGCTGATTTGAACATGTGGGGACAGAAAAATATTTCGCCTACTAGGGCATACTTCAGCATAAACTACACCGACTCTCCATGTGGTTGGGCATAATCCCGCTTCACGTTCAACCTATAAAAGTAGATATCAACGTACCTAATTAATGAGAGCTAGGATGGAATATACCCCTTCGACGAATGACAACCCCATCTTATACCTTCCGTCTAAGACCTACTCTTACTTTCACACTACGATTAGAAATACATAAAGAACATAAACAAGCCGCAGCGAAAATGTTCGCAAATGCTTTGGACACTTAACCGCAGAGTTTGCAGTTTGTCTAAAGTGGTCAACATTTACTTCATCTCCTTCATCATAAGACCAGTGTTTAGCACCGTTCATTCATCTACTGTGTGATCAAACGGGCACACTGTAGGAGATTACTGCCAACCTTGTCCGCGGCTTACGGGGCTTCCCGTACAAGTCCAGTTCGAGGTACTGGGACTGTACACTGGGTGGTGATCGTTCGTGTGGTTACCAGCAACAGCATATAACTCGGCCGCTTCCCCATGCTGTAACTAAAGACACCAGGCGGCACCTGCACACACCGGTACAAACTTGTGGTACGTGAAATGAAGCAGATCGCTTCCGAGATGTGTTTTGAGTAGCTGGGGATGACTTTCCAAACCGTCTGTCGTAACAGATATTCAGGACAAAATCGATAATATTGTCAAAGCTTTCTCTGGATACTGTTTCATGAATGCGCACTTCGGAGAACTTCCTCATGCAAACTATGACACAGTATATGCTGTTAGTTCCATCTTATCTAATATCTAAAATTATTTCATTGCATAAGTTCGTGCAACTGGCAGTTGGCCCGTGAGTTATGCGCCTCAGCACAAGTACACAGACGAATATGGATTTGTGTTGGACACTGTTAGTAGTCTACTACAACACCCATCATTCTGGTCCACAACGCTTGTAGATGGATGGATCCCGAGGATCAGCAAGGAACCTGAACTTTTGCATATTTCTCTCCCTTATTCCCAAAAACTACCAATAGCACAGTTTTACCTCGGTCTGGTGAGTCATACGCACACCTCTAGTAACCCTCGGTTTGAGATCCACTTACATGCCAGAGAAAATTCGATTTCTTCATTTGAGTTAGCGAAAATACATTGAAAGCAAGGCAAACCATGTTAGCTGTTGGTGAGAATCACACCTCATTTAATGCGCCGCAATACGAAAAATAAGATACTAGAACACTTACCCCACAAAGAATTCAAAAAGCGTTATAAAATGCTAGTATTTTATTCATTTCGCATGCGCTCGAATTGGGGGGAATTAAGGGGAGGGGATGGACTAAGAAACCCACACCACAAGTGCCACTGGTGTCGGCTCTTAGCCATATCAGCAAGTGTGCCCAACCAAACGTGTTCATCGTTCTACGGACCCCAACCAGACAGTCGGGATGCCCCAACCGGCGCAAACTTCGAAGTGAGGATTTTCATTTTGCTCGACTCACAACGTTTGACCTCCCCGCCACCTCTTCCAATCACACTCTTGGAGCGCCAACCACGCAAGTCGAGGGAGGCGGTGTGCTGACACACGAAACAAGTGACCGAGCCATCGGAGCTATTTGCGTGATATAATGGTGCTGAGCAGTTCACTCGCTCTTCCTGCACCAAATGTGTGATGCCGAACACATTCAATGCTCACACGGCACTCCCACCAGACATGCGCTAATTTGTGAAGGCAGCGATGATCGAACTTGACTAACCTCTTTATGTCGGTCGACCTGATGGGTCATATTTCAAAACCGTATAACAGGACTGAACGAGCGGCTGCCTTATAAACCCTGCCTTTCCCGATTAGAGTGATGTCGCGTCGGCGAAATAATTGGCGGATATTAGCGAAGTGCCTAATGCCTTTGTTGTACGGTTTGTAACGTCATCTTTGATCCCACGGGCGGGAACATAGCTTCCCAGGTACCTGAAGTCCTGAACGAGTTCTAGCTGATCACTACCAAGGGTCAGCGCAGCGTTGGGTTCCTGAAAATCTTGGAGAAGGACTTTGCATTACGATGGAGCAATGCACAGCCCAAAACGATTTACAATCAGTTCTAAACGTTCCAACGCATATTTTCACCTTTGATAACTGTCACAGATACAAGCAATGTCGTCGGCATCTTTCAAACCGAGAACTCGCTCTCCAGGAACTAGCCCGATACCTTGTAGGTCATGTCCGGGGAACACTGCTTCCATGAGTTCATCAATGACGCAATAGAATGTGACAGCGAGTAATCTTGTCTCAAACCGCTGGAGGTACTGATGGGCGGCGAGAGTTTACTATAAACCCTCACTCTGTTCAAACTATGCGCGTACATCGCTCTGTTAATGTTTGCTTATTTATCGGGCACATCTTTCCTGAGCAGGCAGTCACAAAGAAAACACCGACCCAGGTATTTGAAAGCGCAGTTCATGTTAAGCAGTGGGAAAACGGTGCGTCGCCAATAGTCATGACGGTGCTCCAACCATTGAAGCAAACTGAAGCTGTGGTAGATGAAGCCCCGACATCGACGAAGCCTTGGAAGACAACCTACCATATATACACACGTTAGTACGAATCAACAATATGACGGAATCAGTGATCGATATCCAACCTTACAATCAGAGATCATCCCCAATCTACCGTATATATCAATCCGAATATATGAAGTGGCTGCCCCACATTTGTGGATCTTAAAACCTTACATGTTCATTGACCTTCGCCCCAAAATTTGTCGCGAAACTTTAGGGCAACAGCACAAAACCAATATTGAACCCGATGGCGTTTTCACCTGTCTTCGAACGCTGATCGCTCAACTTCGACATTCACAGCAGCTTTTATTGACAAAGATGGCGTACATTACTATAACCATAGCCCTATTTTCCTAACGTGGGTTCACATAACTGCTGATTATCATCTCCCTGTTTCCGGATACTTTCGCACAAATTTTTGTACAAAGCCAACTGCCAAATAGTTAACTAACGTAAATAGAAAACTTTTTGGACCCACGTAGAAAACTTGACACGTACATTACGAAATTATATATAAATATTTGTTTGTTTAGTAAATGATTCATACATTTCTACAGTCACACACAGGAATATGAAGAACGATTAGCCTAATGACAATTGAACCATACATCTTTTATTGTTTCTTAATCTTATTTCGATGGAGTTGAACAATTTCAATCTCCTCGCATACTAAGAATGATATATCAGTAATTCGGCAGACTGATAGGGTTCAGGTTTATTATCCACACTGCTCCTTCGGCTGTTGGCTCTTGTAATGATTACTGACACCATTAGATTTGTTGTTGAAATTATTCCAAAAATGCCTTTAGTCATGGTACGCAAGCTGTGTCTACACTCTTTAACTAGCTTGGCTCTATCACACTGACTGTCTTTCTGTCTTTCAGCCCTTTACCACTCCCTCCGTCATCCAATTTACCTTGCCCTATATTCTATCCCCGTATTTAAATGTCGACAACAAAGTTTATCAAAAGCAACAAAGCCTGTTGGAAAGATCCAAAACTTAATTGCCTAGTATTATTGTTGGCTGGTTTTGCATTAGGGTTTTTGATGAATCAACTGTTGATACAAAAGAAATTCTTCCTATTTGTCCCCGACACAAAATTCTTGCCAGACAATTCGGAAGATTTATTTGGCCACCTAGGTTAGTTACTTTTTCTCAGGATTTGGCTTGCACTCTGCTTTCTGTACTCATCTTTTGGAAATTATGCATCTCTAACTCTCACCAGTTTCAGTTATGGCACGTGTGTTAGTGGCGTTTTGTTTGTTTTACTTCGCCACCAGTTCCCCACCGGGTGAAACGTTACTTAACTACTTCGAACAGCAATTAATAGCCTCAAATGAATCATATTTTGATGGCAATGTGAGCAGTATGCTTTTAATCAACGAACACTATGTAACTTCGATTGCTTTTTTGTGAAACAAGTAGCATTTCATTAACAGTACTGCGTTATCGTATAAGTGTTGACATCTGAGAAGTAACCATGTCAGACAGCTCACTAGTGTATTTTGTCCACATAGCGAATATCCAAGTTATTTGTCCGTTAGCCCCTAAGACAAATGCGAGTATATCCATGGCTACCCATGTTAGCCGCCTTTTCCACCATGCCGACTTGGATATAGTTGGTATTTCATTACACCTCACATCCCAAAGTCCATTTATACATCATTCCCACACTTCTGTTTCCACAGGCGAATCACAAATTGCCGATGCTTTGGCAAAACGGATTCGTGTCGTTTGTATGGTGCTCACTATGCCATCCAATCATAAAACCAAGGCAAAAGCCGTCAAGGACACTTGGGCTACGAGGTGCAATGCTCACTTTTTTGTCAGTAGTGTTGAGGATCCATCGCTGCCTAGTATCGGTGAGTTTGTTGTCAAACTTTCTAACATTAGCGTACCTTCACCATCACTAGAGGAAACTTAGACTTTAGACTTTTCTCCTACAGATTAAATGTCGAAATACATCTTTTATCCGAATCGACATGACTACGCTTTGTGCCTCCCTCGTAGTGTTATGTCAGGTGACCCACACATATATTACGATTCGATTCTAAAAGAATTAGTTCCCTGTAAGCCACCACATGATACATAATCCAGCGCGCTGGGATTTTGCGCACTTTGTAACTCTTTACTTTGAAAGCGTGATAGTTTTAGCCCCTAAGGTGAGCATTCTATTTTTTTATTTAACAAGACATAAAAAGACTCCATTTGCTTATTTTGCAACGGTAGCTTTGCACCGTTGGTTTTACAGTTGTGTACGCACTTAGTGTGTAATTTGTAACCTCGGAAGGGTTTTTCATTGTCACTTTGTAAAAGTCACTTCATAACAGCCAGCATGTAAAGCGCATAAAGGCTGTTACCTGACATTTGTTTCTTAGCGATTGACTTTTGATTTACTTTCTGAACTGCTTCTCTGGAAGCAAAGTACTTTGCTTATTTTGGTTAAATGAGATAATGAGATGATGTAATTATTAACCTCATTCGATTCCGTCGACTGGCACCGATTCAAATACTACACTTTCGTGAAGAACACGCTGGTTCCTGTTCCGGTCTATTATGCGTAAACCAAATATTTGTGCACCGTCAAATCCTCGAACAGCGTCAACGTTAACCTTAACCTACCATTATCACCTTTTTGGACATCCAAGCTGAGTTCAGCTAGATCAGACTCTCTGCTTTATGGCATTGACTGCAAAGGAGTGAGGTAACTGAAAGAAATACGGTCATACGTCAAATATCATATGGCGATATGTCGGATTGAGTGAGGATTTACGTCAAGCTCTCTACACATTTTGCTCGTGACTAGCGCTGAAAGACTGTGATATGCCACGTCACTGTTTCTGTTAAATTTTGAGTATGAGTGTTCTAGCGTACAGCTGCTCCTAAGAAATTACACAAATGAATTGGATACTCCTGGTGATAAGGCCTTGCTGAGTGTCGATGCTAGCAGTACGCACGTCATTCTAAACCGCAGGGAGATTGAAGCTACCAAAAATGGTATTAACTTGCCCCCACATACTGCAATGGTACGCCTCTTGAAACAAACTGAATTGCATCGAGCACTGAAATCCTGGTGCTAACATCCATCGCTGAAGATGGGCCAGATAACACCTTGCGTGCGATGTGATGAAGAATTCAGTTCACAATTTCCTTTCTGTAACGGATTTTCAGGTTCAAAATCACACTTTGGTCCATAGGTTGAAGAATGCTGCTGGTGTTTGCCAGCAACAACTCTATTTGAATGTTTTTCAGGCCTTCTGGCTGTGAATGCGCTGTGCAATTACCCAAAGGCAACATAATTTTTAGGCCACCTTGGCCTAGCTCCTTGACAAATTCGAAAACCCACTCGGTGAATAGTTCTTTCGCCATCCACGCATTTGGTCAAGTCTGTAAGTTACGGGAAGTATGTCCACGTTCACGCCATTAAAATAGCGTGGTGTTTTACGTTTGCCAATCAAAAACAGTTTTCATTTATCCGTGCCTGACATATTCCCGCAGCATAGTAGAGCGATGCTATCCATGGTATTTTTCTATCCGCTGGGTTTCTCAGCAGTAAACACAAGGAGCTCTATGGAATCACTCGGTAAAAAGGACCTGTTTCGTCGGCGTTGGCACACTTCATCATCAAGTGCATGTAAAGTTCAGGCAGTCGATCTTTCCGCCAAATTTTACTGACTGCTCTGTCCGCGGAACTCTTTTTGCCATGCGCACGTTCATACACAAGTTAATTCCTATTCTTCCATTTTGCAGCTATCCTTCTGTGCAGCAAAGGTTTTCCGTTTTTCCTAGAATTCCTCTCCCTGTATCTGTTTGGTTGTGCTCACAAATCGACATTATCCAGTCGTTCAATGGAGTTTCCATTTCCTCATCCTTTCCACATCACTTCATTTGCTGAGAAATTGCAGTGCTAGGCGACAAATTCCATCGGAGCCCCTTTTCACTGGCGATCAACCTGGCTAGAGTACGAAGATAAATGTGCAAATCACGGGACAACTTAGGCTGTGAGCTTCCTGGTAGATAAATTTTAATTTTGTCCAAAAGGTACAATTGTTCTTTCAAGGACGAGACCTTTATTTTCCTGGCCATACTTGTGTGTAACCAATAGAGCACCGACAAATGTGGAGCGGCAAGTTTACCCAACTTTGCTCAGTTCTCGAGTTTTGGAAAGGGCTAAGGTTTTTGGCTACAGCCGTTTGTAAATTTAGCCTGTACCTATATTTAATGACATAAGAAACATTTTCTGATCTGTCAATAACGCTGCTGATATCTTTGTTGCTCTTGACTCAAACTGACTGGCTAGCTGTGGGGTCATCGGAACAAAAAATAATCAGAGCAAGGGCGGAAAATTGACAAAGCGGCAAGAGCACAACCTACGCGGCGGGGTAATTAAGCGGTAAGAACACCTAGGCAGTAGGCAATTAGAGGGTAAAAATTAGCATATTTATGAGAAAAGAATTTGTATTTTATAATATGGACAATAAAGTGTAGTGGATTATAAACAGGTTGGGCAAAAATTGCGGATCGACTCTCTCTCCAGCACATGAGTCAGTGAATTGACCACATGCTGGACCGGTAGTATTTAATCGAAGGCTTTGGCTGAGGACCCGAGTCGCTCTGCTGTCAGACGTAGGCGCCCTGCCAGTATGCTAGTTCATCCTTTCCGGAGGTTAGGAACTGGTCGACGGCCCACTTCCCGTAAAACCTAGCTATGGGATACAACAGACCTACGAGTGTTAAGCCCTCCGCTCGGTGGGCATAGAGCACGAGAGCCGTGCATTGTCTCTGACTGTGGGAGGACATCTCCGGGTGTTTGTTCAATGGTTTGCTACTGCCCGCCTCAAGCTAGGCAGCCCCTGGTAAAATTGGTGCAAACCCACCAAAACCCACCTGCATCTGGCCGTGGTCGCAGGTGCGGATCCTACTACTGTCGCAAAACATATACGAATCCTTCCAGTAGCTCTAAGGCTGCGTGTTACGGCCGTCAAGTCGATCTAAATCTGTCTCTGCAATCGCATTCTCTATTTGCTCACAACTGTGTTTTGGGTCAGGCTCTTGAGCCAAACGATCCGGGCGGAGTCCCTCAAACACTCCACCAAAACACCCACTACCATGTGGGTCAGGCTATTAGGCCAAAGGCTCCAGCTCGAGTCTCTCAAGCAAACCTCCAAAGTACAACCGCCACTTCGAGTGCAATTGCCCACCAATGCAATCGTATGCCTGCGCACAAAGCACTCAACATCGGGTGCTGGAACGTGCGCACACTATTGGACCGGAACTCGAGTGAGCGCTCTGAACGGCGCACTGCACTGGTAGCGATGGAACTGGTGCGCTACCAAATAGATATTGCGGCGCTCATAGAGAATCCGCTAGCTGACCAAGGTAAGTTGCATGAAGCAGGTAATGGCTACACATCCTACTGGGTGGGCAACGCCGCCTAAGCACCACGTGAACATGGGGTCGGATTTGCAATATCCAATCGGTTCCATGGCCAGGTGGTGTGTGGACTAACAGGCATCAGCGCGCGACTGATGGCTGTTCGCCTACGACTAGGTAGATTTAAGTTTGCCACTTTTATCAGCATGTGCGGTCCAACCACATGTTATCCTGATGACACGCGTGATCAATTCTACACTCAGCTATCCTCCGTGGTACGGCCAGTGCCGAAGCTCGAGCGGCTATTTCTGCTGGATGATTTCAACACGCGCTTTGTGTGTGATGCATCGGTGTGGATAGATGTCATCCGTCCGCATGGCATTGGTTCAGCGAATGCGAACTTTGACGGGCTGCTTTCACTGTGTGCCACTGACGGTTTGACGATCACGAACGCTCGGTTTGCACTGAGTGCGAGTGAGATAGCAACTTGGACGCACCCACGGCGTGGTCACACTCACCTGCTCGACTATGTCATCGTACGTCAGCGTGATATGCGTGAAGGGCGCATGACAAGTGTACTGCTTGGAGCTGAATGTGGCATTGATCACAAATTGGTTCGGATCAAACTGTAAACCTAGTTTCGTAAATCGATGTATTGCACTCCAGCCGTGTATCGGCGTAAATTTATCATTCTCTCCCTCGGTGCTGTGGAGAGTCATATTGAACTGCAGAAGGCGATGGCTGTACGCCTGTGTGATGTGGACTGCATAGCCACAGTGGGCGATCTGTGGCACCACATTCCCGACCAGTTGACAGCTGCTGCCGAGGAGACCATCGGGCGCGCCAACTGTAAGCGGCCTGATTGGTTTGATGAGAACAATGCGACGATTGGCGCATTGGTGTGTGAGAAGAATGCGGCATTTTCTGAACATGTGGCAGACTTCAGTGACTTGGGGAAGAAGAGAAAGTTTGGCAGAATTCGTCGGTGACTGACTCGAGAGCTCCGTCGTATTAAAAATGCATGATGGACTGGGAAGGCAAAGCAGATGGAATGCTACGCCGAACCGCGCCAACACCAAGGATTCTTTGGTTCCTTGAAGGCGGTGTATGGACCGACGATGGAGCCACTAGGGAAGATTATCGATGATAGTTCAGGCACTACCTGCACAGCGACTGCAGACATGATGCAGATCTGGCAAAATAAATTTGGCTGTCTCTTGAACAACCGTTCAGACCTCGACTGATTTACATTGAACGGCCTAAAACTGCACCATGTGAAGGCGAGTCTGGCGAAAACGCCGACATTGGTTGATGGGCAGAGAGCCCTTGCTCAGCTGCGAAACGGCAAGTGTGCTGCTGCCGACGGGATGCTGCCTGAAATATTGAAACACGGCGCATCCGCGTTGGTGCCTGCACTGCACCACTTGGTGCAACGCGTCTGGATTGAAGTGATGTGCCTCCTGAGCTGCAGTGTGCCCATCTGCTACCA